CTTAACAATAAGATATAAAAATTAAAAAAAAAACAAGTCATTGTTATCCATAGAATAAATTCACAATTGTCTGTTGTAAGTATGCAATTATGTGTGGTAGTCTTGTGATGATCTGTCACATGTGGAAAATCGTCTGTTGTACCTATGTCGTGCTTTTTAGTAATTCTGCTACATTTTTTTCACAGTTCTGACTTTGTCTGTCATGATTAAGACGTTATCTGTTGTGGCTTTACAATGACCTATCTTAGCTATACCAATAAGCAAAAATTCGTACTAGATGAAAGTTGAATAATAAATAGAAGATGAAAATGGAAATATTAATTTTACATGATATTTCTGATTTTTTTTAGTCAAATATTGTTTGATGTTTATTTTAGTAAAGTATTGTTTATGAAATAAATTATTAGTCTCAACAGATGGCACTCGATTGTGTGTAAGGTTATTATGTTCTTTGTCCTCTATCCATTCGTCTTTTTCTTCCTCCTTTTTTGCTTTTCCATTTTCCCCATTCTTTCTTCGTTAAACATACGCATCAGTTGTTATCTAATTATACAGAAATGAGTTGTTCGTTTTAACTTGTATCGATCATACAAACTAATCTCTGTTACCTTCTCTTATTCGTAGACTTTATTTTTCCCGCTTTCAGTAGTAGTAATTATTATTATTATCAATTCTCATGTCTATCTATTCTCATTCACTTGACTTCGTCTTAATTACTAAACAAAGATCCTCATAAAAATAAAAATAAAAATATCTATATCATCTGGAAAATTCCAAATCAACGTTCTCGAAAAAATTTAACACTCCTTGTTATATGCCTGAAATAATTAAACCATATTTTTTTTTTAGATCTAGCTATATATAAAACAAATTTATTATTAATTCAATTAAACAAAAAAAAATGTCATTTATTCAACAAAACCAACAACAAGTGAGAAGAAAAAGAATTAGACGAATTGAAATACTTATATTTTTATGTTTTGTTTCTTGTAGAACAATAATAATAATATTCTTTATCTGCAATTAATTCAATTATTAGATGTCAATCAAAACGGAAGAGTAAAATTAAAAAAATCTAATATCTATTCTTATCACGTTAAAATTTTATCTAATTTAGCTGGTTTTGCCGTTTTCTCGTCGAATGATACTTATTGATCGTCCATTTGATAATCTATATGAAAAGTAAGTTGTTTTGAGAAAAAATTACATTTCATGTTATTATTTTATAATATTTATTTTTTTCACCATTAGCAGCGATAATGATGAACAAAGTGAAATATTAAGTGATTATTGTAAGACAGAATCTGAATTCTCATCATCAGTATCAGAAAATTATTGTCTAACTGATGACGAGAATAATGATGATAATAGTGAAGACAATGGATCATTTCAATCATTATCCTTACCACCATCACCTTTTGCTTATGATCCTTATGATTCATATGATTATGAATGTTAAAAAATTTAAAAACTTGTTTGTAGTATAAACCGTTTGTTGTTGTTGTATATATTCTTTTTCTTGATGAATAAAAAAAAAAAATAGATAAGTGATGCATTTACAATGAAATAGCAAAAATGGTTTGAAAAAGATAGCTATAAACAAAAAGAAAATCTTTACATTCAAATTGTTATGTTCTAAATTCCAA